AGGGACCACCCACAGATGCCGCTGCCCGCCGCGAGCAGCAACCGCCTACAGATGCCAGCAGAGGGGGAGGGGGAGGGGGAGGCGGGTGGCAAGTGGCGACTGTCTGCAGGCACATGTCCCCCTGTGCCCCCTCTATGAGTCGTCTGTGCCAGTAAATAAGTCTAAATGTAATACAACACAAATAGCAAGGATCATAGGCAAAAAAGTAGCATGAGCGGGTTAGAAGGGAAGAGGAAGAACATCAGTGACATCACAGAATCACAGAATCAATGAGTAGGAAAGGACCTAGACAGATCATCGAGTCTGACCCCCTGCCATGGGCAGAAATGAGTACTGGGGGTGGGAGGAGTCATAAGACCCCAGCCAGGTGCCTTATGGCATCATCCTGTAACTCTTTAGTACGGGAAGACCACCTGCTAATGATTACTCTCATTTTTAAATAAATTTTCATTCTTCTTTCCAGATGATGGATCTGATTCTATTTTTTTGAAGAGGCAGGAAATGTTAAAATCTGGCAAATAAGTTTGAGGAGGGCTTTCAAAGTTTAAGCAGTATCTTGGAGACAACTGAAGAAGGGAAACACCTAAGAAAAAAGAATATCCAAGCTAGGATGTGGCAAAATACCCAGAAACCAGGTCAGAGGTACAGACAAGGGCTGTCAAACCAAGGGCTTTCAAACCAAGGACAAGCAACATGAATGAAAATCTGCTCTTAATTTTATCAAAGGACTGTTCCAGTTAGAGAGTAGCTTGAATCAGGAAACCTATCTGGAATTTTCCATTCCTGAAATCACTGACACATGTTATACTTCATTGGTTAATACCATCTTACTGGTGTCCTACCAAACATTCATTCAATTGATGATGTGATAAAATGAAGAATATGCTGCAGTTATTATACAAAATACATGTAATAACCAGGGATATGTGTTTTCCATTTCCCACAGAAAAAAAGAGAGAAAAATGTGGATTTTCCCTTTTAACTGAGAAAAATGCAGATGTTTTATTTTAACGGAGAAACACGTGGATTTTGCACTTCTGCAAAGAGCTCTCTGCAGGCTGGCAGAGTTCCAGTCTGCAAGGGGCTGGGGGGAGTAGAAGAAGGTAAGTCAGGCAGGGGGTGTACATGCATGTGCTCACACAGGCACAGGGTTGCCAGGGAGCCTGGAGAGCAGCTCCTGCTGGTAAGTCTGGTAGGGGGGAGGAATTCAGGCCCCTATAGTGAAGGATGGAGGGAATGAGCTGGGCAAGGCTGGGGCTGCTGCCCAGCTGGGCCAGTGCATGGGGTTTGGGGCCCAATGTTAAAATGTATAGCCTCTGCAGCCCAGCAGGTGGGACCTAGTGTGACAGGGCAGAGCGGGGCCAGGTGGGGAAACTCCTTGCTGCTGCATGCCCTGCACTGCCTTACAGCATGTAGCTCTCAGCAGCAGCAATGAGATTTCCCACCTGGGTCCTGATCTGCCCTGCTGTGCCAGGTCCCGCCCACTGGGAGAAGGCAGTAGGGCAGGGAGCCCAGAACCTGCAGCCCACACCCACCCCACACACAAATCTGGGGGGCATGTCCCCCCCGCCCAGCAGGCAGTCCCCGCCTGCCCCTGCCATGGTCTCTGCTCCAGCAATGCTGCCTGTTGGGGGAGGAGGAGCAGGGCTCTGTGCTCCACCACAGCAGCAGCCACCACCTCCCACAGGCAGCAGCCAGGGTGCAGGGGCTGCTGTGGGAGGCAGAGGGCTGTGGACCTAAGTCCCTGGTCCCATAGCCCTGGGAGTCAGGGGTCCCCTCCGGCAGGCCTATGGCAGGCAGGGACTGTGGGTGGGGAGTAAGGGAGTCAAGAGGGCTGTGGGTGGGGACTGAGGAGCACCAGAGGCTAAGGGGCTATGGCAGGGGAGTGGGGGGCCTGGACCTGCATCCTGGTGAGCTAAGGGGGCAGGAGAAGCTCTGATTTTCCATGACAAAAACCCAAAATGAAATACCAAAATGTATAGCTACTTAGAATTTATTTTATCATTGTGACTGAGGCACTGGTAGGCTTCTAAACTGCTTTAACATTGTAAATATATTAATAACACATTGAGTTCAATTGATATCTGTATATCTATAGCGGTGTTTCATTTTAATCCCAGATTTTGGGCTTTTTAATCAGAGAATTTGCAATTTTTTAACAGAAAACCAGGAGCCCTAGTAATAACTTTGTTGTAGGTTCCTATCATGCCTTTAATATACTGTGTGGTCCCTCAAGACTCCTGTGTGCTCCAGAGGCTGGGAGCTCCAATCAGGCGACCTGGGCTCCCAGCTGCAAGAGTGTATGGTGCTCTCCTAAAGCTGGGAGCTCCAATCAGCTAATTGGGCTCCCCATCAGAGAAGCACAGGGATCCAACTTTGCACAGGCTCCCCCTGCATCTGCAATATGGCATGATGGGATCTGATGCTTGATCCCACAATTGTACTTTATGCCATGAACGGGTGGCATGGCAGAAAGCATCGTTGTTGGGATCATGCATCAACTCCCATTGTGCCTTTAAATTATTGTCTGTGGAGCCTAAATCTCAAATATGACAAGGCTGCAAGTCCTACTTTGCTGATAGTAGGGATAGATTGGGAATGGGTGAGAGAGTTTACTTGAATAGCTTTTTGAAAAGCATCCTTATACATAAAGGTATTTATTGCAGCTGCATCTAGGATTGGAAGCTTTTAGGCAAACCTTTTCATGTCTGTGTACCAAAAATGGCACTCTTAGCCTCAGGAGAATTATTACAAGGCTTTTTCCTACCAAAAAAAATCTGTATTACCTATTCCTTTTCCAGAGCCCCCTTACCCCCATCTACAAAGTACAAAGCAAGGCATGTATGTGAAACTGCCATGCCTAATTAAGACAGGAAGCTAGCCATGTTAGTCTGAAGTCAGGCAGATGGCAGAGTAAATTTGCACCTTTAGGCCACATCCCCACGAGCAGGGGCATGCGGTTGCTGTGGGGGAAAAAACAGCAGCACAAATATGTGCTTATGATTTCTGCCTCAACACATGCCCCTGCACGTGAGGTTAGTACATGGAAAAATGCTCCTGGTGGGGTAGATGAGGCTGGGGCCAGCACCTGGGTACTGGCCCCAGCAGCTTTACCTGAGGTCCTGGGGGCCTCCCAGGGCTCCAGCAGCAGTGATCTGGGTGCACAGAGCCTGCCCAGCAGCTGGAGTATGGCTCTGGCCAGTCAGGCTCCAGTTTTGGGTGGCATACACTGCTGCCACATGTGCTGCTCCACTTTTTCTGTACTTTTTTTTTTTTTTTTTAAAATACCAGGATTTCCTGGTATCTAACTTTGGCACTGTACTGCAAATATGCAGCACAAAGAACCACATCACGTGTACAGAGTGTGTTTTGCAGTACCTGAAAAGCCTTTGAGGCACCACAAAACATACCCATGTGGATGCAGCTTTAGAAACTAACTAAATCAGAGATGCATAGCTTTTGTAAACAGAGAGCATAC